GACGATAACACGACACAAGTGAGGAATGCAGACTACTAATCATCAACACTGCATTGTTTTGTGAAGCAATAAAACTGTGCTTCCACGAAAATTACTGTCCAATAAGTAGGAATTACCAATCCCGTTCACTCCTTTTCACTCTCTCATCGTTAGAACATCTGTCAATCCCCAAATTTCTGGGCGGTCATAATGGCAACTAAATCCGAACAGACAGTAAAATCCGGAGGATCAACTCACCTATTAACTTTAAAGTGAACATATTCACAACAATTCTGTGCAGCAAGCATCCCCAATACTTCGTCAGACAGCGTATATATCTGCCTGATAGTGTTGCATACCTTAACGTGAACAGTATTGAAAACGCATTGCCATTGGCCTGCAATTCTTTATTCCTTTGCACCATAATATCTAATTCTGATAGCGTAAATCTATATTGCTATGAACAGTAACACCCGAATAAATATTCACTTAGATCACACGATTACATGGAAACTTACGGATTCTCCAAATCGCCAGTGTGGGTTCTTTTGTTCTTCAGAGACGTAAGTATAAGAATTCACGGCAATACAGACGTTTATCTGGCTTAACGGGGCATTGCGAGGACGAATCAAACATGTTGACCGCTTATAACGGAAATTTGGAGGTTTGCGCGACCTTGGTGCCACCACTGGTGAAAAAGAAAGTATGACTGAAAACGATCTAAAGCTTAACACTCTGTATATGCTGAAAAGTGGTACTTTCTTGTTCGTTTCTTAACTTGTGGAATATTCCTTTTTAATCGAATTAACTGAACCCCATTCCGTACCATTCAGGTCCTATAAAATCTCGCATATTTTTCGTCATTTGTCAATGTGATGATGCCCGTAAACCGGCTTCTCTCAGGATAAGTTACTAAAATGAGAATAAAATATTTATTATTTACTTAAATGGATTCGTTGTGACGCTTTAGTAGTGGTCTCGCAGGTTGCCCGTGGAAATATGCTGAAGTTCTTGTTTTAACTTGCGGCACCACTGTACTTTGGTTCCATCGGAAACAGCAGTAGCCGCAAAACTGAAAGTTTGTAATTGAATTTTATACCTACGTTTTGCCATGAAAAATTTCTCATAGAGTTTATCTATTTTCTGGATAAATACTCCCTTTTTGTAACTGAGTGATCTTGCTTCCGCTGGTTTGATCTCAGATTCGGGAACTTCTGAGATTCTTTCCCTTGGTACTAGTTACACAATTATTTGGGCAGCAACAAGCATTCCTTCTTCATTCTCTACCTGTTGCGTCATTTTTGTTTATAAAGCTGACTTGATATCAGATGAAAATAAACATCAAAGTAAACGAATCTATGATAAAACTACCCGCTTTCGGTTCAAGTGTAATAAGATTCACAACAGCTAACTGGAGCGTACGGAAACGAACAGTGTTAATTGGACTACAACTTCACAGTTTTCGAAACTTGAGGTTTGTTCATTATTGTACTGACCGAGAAAGTGTCATTCTTGCAGACCACAAGATTGTCATTACACTTGTAAACAAACCCTGTTTTGCTATTAGCATGAAGACCATAATTCCACTTGCCCACCTTGTTAGTTCGTGGATACTTATTCTGCTGCCCTGCTTCATTCTAATAATATGGAACACACATCTCATAGCAACTGGGTAGGTGGGATTGGACCCACTTGCCCCAAGTAAACCTGTAGTTCTCATAGAGATTTATCCATACGTGCGAAAATAGTGTCTATATTATTATTATTTGTCCTTTAGGTTCCCAGTCGAACATAGGGCTTCACTAGCACTTCTCTATTTCACTGTCTTCTCTGCAGTCTTCTCAACCTGACTCCGTGACCGCCCACAAGCCTTCATTTTTTCCCCACATAATCTCCTCCATATCACCCTCACCTCGGACGCCCAACTCGTCTTTTCCCATTTCCATTCCACTCGACTATCTGGCCTGGCGCATGATGTCTCCAATCCGTCTTCTTCCCAGTATATGTCCAATCCAATGCGTCCCCACTTCTTCCGCTTAGTTTTTGGGCGATGGGTATATAGCTGATGTTAAATGAGATTGATAAAGGTTTGTGGCACTAAAACCGTAGTGTGGAAGCAGTTGCCTACCAAACTACTTCTCGTTCGACGCTGTTGAAGACCTTTTCAAAGTCGATGAAGTTGAGGTAAGGTGAAGAGTTGACTGCCATTCTATGCTCTGCATAGCGTTGCAATTTGATCCCCACATGGTTTGTGTTGCTGAAAGCTAGCCAGCTAAGTTGTTCCGGTAGTTATTTAAAATCTAGTGCATCTTTTAGTCTCTCCAGGATGATGCGGCATAATATTTTGCATGAGGTGTGAGCATGTCAGCTGTTGTCTCTGCGTCTGCTTTCAGTGCTTCTGGAGGAACACCATCTGGTCCTGATGCTTTCCCGAATTTCAGCAACTTTACGGCGTTCAGGACATCACTACGGCTTTTGTCGGTGGGCTTGTGTTCACTGATAGTCCTGTGGCCAGGCTGCTAATGGCCAACCCGTTGTTTTTTTGTTTATCCTCTGCAGTGGTAACTAGGCTTCCTTCACTATCGTTCATTGGTTTCATCTGAGTCATCTCTTATCTCCCAGTCAGCAAGTAACCTGGTCATTTGATATAATGTTGCCAGGTCTCTGCCTCTCCCTCCCCCAGCCTGCAGCCTGTTCTGCTTCACTTGCCAGTGTATCGTAGAAGTGTCTCTTGTCTTTGCGCGCACCCCCGGTATCCATTGTCTTCTTATTAGCTGATGTTAAGGAAGTGATTTCGCGCTCGCTTTTAGGTTTTGCGGAAGGTCTCTAGGTCTGGTGAATTCCTGTTCAGTAGGTCTATCCCCTCACCAGCTGTTGCTCTTGTTGGCTCGATGGAAGTTTCAGAGCTGATCAAATTTCTAAGGGTTGTGTGATTTTTTCGAGGATTGTGTTGCAGATGGGTTCCGCAAATGTAATGTGACCAGACAGTTGGTTGAACTGGTCGAGAAAAGATAGAAGGGGTGTTCTGAGGAAGCAAGGGAGAGGAAGCGCGAGGAAAAATACATGGTTGACAGAAGGGAAACGGAAGGAAACGGAAGCCCTGGTAGATTACTGGGAGGTAAGTGACGGCGAACACCTTCATAAATAATGTGAGATCACTGAGTCGGAGGGAAGAGGGGGACTGAGATTACGTGGCAGTCAGCAGGAATAGAGATAGTGATGCTTTTAGTGGGAGATAGTAGCTGGAGGAGACGTCTACATGGACGCATAAGGTTGATTCGAGTCTGCGATGATAATGGCGGTGCAAAACGTTTAGTGTAGGATCGACCATGCTGGGTCATCTGGAACTAGTAGGTTGGATCAACTTAGTCCGTATTCAAGCTGGATGGGCGCTTGAAGAGCACTGTCACCCGGTGTATCACAAAGGGCTATTTCAGGTTTGTTGCTGCTGTCGAGTTTCACCCCTTCCATCCTGCTGTATGGTGATGGCGTTAAGCAGTAGAGTCGTGGGTCTGAAAGAGACTCGACTGCATTTCAAGACTACCTTAGAATGATATAAGACTCGATAGAAATCAATGGATGAGTTAAACTGACTAAATGCTGGACGGTCTCTATGCCTATCTGTGGTCCTCAGATACGCACCCTTTCCAAATAGCCACAGAGGGGAGTTTGGATGTAAGCTTCAGCGACAGATAGAGAGCAGTTCGCAGTATCTTTCAGATGCCTTTTGGGCCTAAGTGGTGCTACACCAAGTGCCCTTAATGCGGAGTTGTTTTCGGAGCTGTACTAGACTCATGTGAAGTCTCACCTAAGGGTTCACAGTGCCATTGCACCACGGAACGTGGAAAAATGTGCCAGCCTCCAGGGACATGTCCTTAGTGGAGCATCAAACTCAGTTGTGGGAATGCAGCATAAGCTACACAAATATAAAATAAAGGATTTGTGCCTTTACGTTCTCAGTTACCGTAGGGTTTGTGATAACGAGCTAACAATGTGCAGGGTACTTGGTGGCCGAAGTCACCCAAACAGAGAAATATTGCTAAGTGGCTACTACAGTGACCGTCTTGAAACTCGGAACGGAATCTACCACCAAAGGCCAGAAATCATTCGCGACAACACTTCTTATTCCTGCGAACTTGAAGGCACTGGGATGCACTGCCCGTTGAAACAAATCAGCCATACAGTGGTACATATGGCGCATGCATCCACTTTGGACAGGGAATGGACTGAGACAGATAAGTGGCACCAAACCAGTTCAACACGTCCACTAACCTTTATATCGACTACTTTACCACTAACATCGTGAACATGACTTAGTTTCTTGTCGCCATGTATCCTCCACATTCGCACCCCCTACTAAGCATTTCGCCTTTGAATTTATCACCGCACCACTAATGTCATTACTGCTTCTACCTTCACTGTTCCTGCCGTAGTTTTCCCAGTGGACTTCTTCATACTTATTGCCTGATTAGTAACCGTATTTATTTGGTAACTGACTCCAAATATTTTCTTTCCTTGTCTGATATTAACTGGTCCTTCTCACTCTTTTCTTTGATTCTTCCATCTCCTCCTTACCCTGTTTAATTGCCGTCTGAATCCTGTTGCCTTCTTTTCGGGACCAGAATCGGCAAATGCCTGGTTACACGATATTTTGCGATACAATGTACACCACAGTCCCACAAAAAAACATGCGACTCCCTGCTCGTTTTTAGCAACAACCGACAGATTTCTGATTTTGATGAAATCACGAAGGGCGAGTGGCTAATGCATTGCATTCAAATCGACTAAAGACCTGGAACCATTTAGCGATATTGGGAAGTAAACACTCAGGAAGCAACTAATTTTCAAAAACTAGTAAATAAGGTATTGTGTTGTTGGATTCAAATGTTGTACTCCAGTTGCATTTGGAGGTATGGCTATTAAATAATAGGAGTGGTAGGAAATTCAGAAATGTGTTTAAACGCACCACAAATCCCTTCTGAGTTGCCATGTGAACTTTTGCGGGTCTTGGGTTTTTTCGGATGAGGTGAGTTATATTTTGAGGAATACCCCTTTTTCGCCTAGGTTTTTTTGCCTTATATTCACTTGCGACCCTGTGGGATGCACAAAATATATGTTTTCTTCCCGGAGTATCTTTGAAGTTAACTGATTAGTTTTGTGCACCCCCGAATGGCATCTGGCTACGTAACCCAGAATCATTCGACCACCAACTGCTTTTGCAGCTAACAAATAGTTCTGTTTGTCATTTGTCGTCTTGAACGTCGATCTTTTTTTGCGCTTAAATGTCTCGTTACGGGTTGACCAAATTGTTTGCTATCTTTTCGATGAGTGCTTAAACAATATTTTTAAGAAACTTTTGGGAAGTGATACAAAAGATCTCAATTTTCAGTCTTCAGTAAGGTAAATAATAGGCTATTAGCCTATGTTTATCATATGTCAACTCAGGAACTTCATGCGCATTGAAGTGGTTCCTCAGGCTGTTTCAGAGTTTATTGTTTAATTATCGTCCCGTGTATGCTGTATGACCGATAGATACACACTTGGTCAGTCAGCTTAGCTGAGCTAATCACAGCTGATAGTCACGTTTTGAGGATACAAACCTAACTGGTTTGTTGTGGAGATACATCTACACTATTGATACACAAGAGTGGCAATCCCGCTGACATTCATTCAATGCCATTCACAATGCTTGAAGATCCATTATCTTTTCGGAAGTGTAAATAAAATTTCGGTAGCTCAGAGTGAGACGCAAAACCCATATTTTATGCTTGAGACCGTTAGCTTTTGTTTTATAGTTCTCAGTAGCTTCTCAGGTTACCTCAAGTTTAGAAAATTTTCACCGAGATCTGTTGGTTAAAGTTTCATTATTAGGTCTTACAACTTTCAGCCGGATGGTAAAGGTGTATCCAGTTCACCTATTCATTCTTTAAAAAAGTAAAAAGGCCGTAATACCCTAATCTGTTCCAGTAAATGTTCTTCGTAAACGTGGTCTTACTGGTTGGATCCCGTGTTTCGCATAAGATATGATACGTTGGATTTAAAGTCAGAAGCATCTGCCTGTGATTTTTGGCAAACTCCGCAGAAAGCTACTGTTGAGCCACATTTTTATGTGCATTTGAGGTCACATCTTAAAGCTTATTATGAGTTACTAGTTACGCTGCTATTGTTTTTGTCAGTGCCTATGCAACTGCATACCTCCAGTTGATATCTACTGAATCATTCCACTAATATATTCAGGTCTTATGACAGGAGTGACATGTATAGCTTTCTAGTGTGTGAATGTAAAAATAAATACGGTTGATTAACGCTTAAGAAATTCACGAAAGTGGTGGTGCACGATCAACTATTATTCTTTCCGATTATATCCCTATGTATTTGTTCGGTTCATATCGGGACACACTTTTCCCCATCCTTCGCTTTAAGAGGTTATACTAAATCCAATTTCATTTGTGTACCGCACCTTACAAATTTGGGATGCCTCTGGTTCTACTGCCCGTATTTTCACCGAAACAGTGCAAATAGTCTTTTCCTGAGTAGTAACAACGGTTCGTCCACTGTGTTTAAGTTCTGCTGGCTGGTTTTGCACCCAACTAGATGTATAAAAGGACCTAAAAAGTACGTGTGAAAGTGTGATCGTATGTCATAGTTTACAAAGTAGTCTGTTGATGCTTAATCGAGAGATGTTTTTTTAGTGAACACTAAAGTTATTATTAATAACGGTTACATTCAGACTAGCCTTCGGAAGGGTGTCTGATACTCTCCCAGGCTCAACAACTGAAGCTTAAGGTCTGACACTTCGGACACCATTTAAAAGATGACAACCAAGCTTTAGTACCTCAACATTCATTGCTAGATGAGATATGGCGCCAGTGTCAGTTTTCTACTCAGCATGACTAGAAAAACTGTTACAAAGCAAACAATTAAAACCAAGAAAGACTGACTATCTATTTTCAAAAGAGGGGCACGATTGCTGATTAGAGTATCTGAGGCAATACCTAATGTGCAGAACCGATGATTATCAGATTAATCTGGTTCTTCGACCATTCAACAACAACAGATGCAACAAATTCAAACTGCTGAATAACGTGTTTAAGACTTTAGGATCCTTACACATTCCAGATGTGATTGAAGCCTCTGTACAAAAGCTCGGGAAAATTAGGCAGGTTTCAGGTATAGACTAAGATGCATTTATCAAATATCCACACTTCAACAGGCTCAGAAATACAGGCGTATATACTAGTACCCAAAACACCACATTTCTTGATTTGACGGCGGCATTCGACACCGTTTACCGAGAGCTGTTATGGAAGTGCTCGATTACGAGGACAGCACTGAGTAAGCAAATTGTGCTAACCAAGACTTCCTAACCGAACTCACACAGCCTTGTAAGGGTTTACGGGGAGTTGTCACTGAATTGACGAAAATCAACGGTATTCACTCTTACTTTGCCATAGATTTACTGAGTTTGGATGCCTTGACTTTTCATGGGCCATTGCAAAATATCTGACTGCATGTATAGTATATAGTATAGTATAATATCGTATAGTATAGTATAGTGTGCAACAGTCGTGTCTGTTCTACTGTAAGACATGGAGACATGAAGAGCTAACAGGGTTTTCAACCAAGATGTTTTAGTAGCATTCTTTTCGCTCGGTGAAATGACTATGTGAACATTAAGCGTAGAGTAGTAGATATGTATGGGGAGTCAGTCGATGAGGTTGTGAACCGTCCCCTACTTTTGGCATGCTTACAGTTATTTTTGAATGTTTGATCTTTCATTGTATCCTTAGAATAAATTCATAGAATAAATTTGTAGGGCTTAATCCAGTTGTTTAGGAATCCTAATGGAAATCTGTGGATCTACCAGGTTGGCATATTATGCAGTCAGAAAGACAATTACCAACTGCTTGTTGACTTGAATGTCAACTTTCAGAATGTTCATTGGTGTAAATTTGACTGTATATTAATACAGTTGCATGTTATTTTGTTCACTAACTCATAGTGAACTTCTATCCTTATCAGACTATTACTAATACTGTACGCTTAAGATTGACAGTCTTTATATGTAGTCGGATATTTTGCAATGGCCCATAAAAAGTCAAAGGCATCCAAACTCAGTAAATCTATGGCAAAGTAAGAGTGAATACCGTTGATTTTCGTCAATTCAGGTGACAACTCCCGTAAACCCTTACAAGGCTGTGTGAGTTCGGTTAGGAAGTCTTGGTTAGCACAATTTGCTTACTCAGTGCTGTCCTCGTAATCGAGCACTTCCATAACAGCTCTCGGTAAACGGTGTCGAATGCCGCCGTCAAATCAAGAAATGTGGTGTTTTGGGTACTAGTATATACGCCTGTATTTCTGAGCCTGTTGAAGTGTGGATATTTGATAAATGCATCTTAGTTTTTACCTGAATTCTGTCAAACTTCCTCGAGTTAGTTGTTTACGAGGAGATGCTAGGTATTGAATGGTCATCAGCGTTTTGATTGTTCAAGAGGACGATTTCCGATTTGCATATCTAATTTGTGATGATCGACATATTTGAGAATACGATGTTTGGCGTAACTTTGTGCAGACTAGTTGAACTAGTTGCTTTTTTTTTATCTCAGTGTGTAGCTGGTTTTATTTGTAATGAATGCGTAAATATGGAGTCATATATTCAACAATATTCTTTGTTTTGTTATGTGGAGCGTGATACTGATGTCTTCCGCTAAACAGGACAGTGCCACTTACAATATGACTTGTTTATTGCGTGAATGGGACTGTGCACCGAAAGCAAAACGTCGGCAATTCTTGCAGGATTTCATCAGACAGTACCGTAATTGCTCTGGACCTGATCTAGAAGCAGAACTTGCTCAAATGGGTAGTCTGTTTTTGGCTAGAATATGTGTATGGATAAAACTGACGTATGTGTCTATTGCATAGTTTTCTCGATAATTATGTGTGTTATGTTGTTGGTATTCTACTTTATGTTCGCAATAATTAGACATGGGATCTATTTCCATTTGTTATTAGTCTCGTCACATAGCAGCTGACAACGTTTATTCATGTGCTAGCACTTTATGATTAAGAGTTGTTGTAAACTTTTTAAGCCCCACCTTACCTTCGAAACAAATTCAAAGCGACGAAGATTGTGAGTGCCAAAGATTATCTGCTGACCACTTTTTGATGTTTGGTGCTCATAGTATTATAAGTATGCATCCTTGATCGTACTCATTTCTAGTTTCAGAGCATCCGGCTTTTTATAAGTTTGGGATACTAGGAAGCTGGTTGACAGAACCAACCTGTTTTTGATTGTTTATTTTAGGGTCTTTACTTTTTTATGCTGTTTGTTCAGTGGTGACCAGTGATAAGACTTAGGTGTTTAACCCCGGTTTATTTTCTTATCAGTGATGTTTAGAGATCCTACTCCCATCGGCTTAAATAATGTCTCAAAAAAGTGACGTGCAAACTGTATACCTGTTCCATATAAGCTATAGGATTTTCTCTAGACGTTCACCGGTCGTATATTCACCTTTATGCCTCTTAAAGATTTCATTTGACTTTCCAACCTTTTTCGAGCAATTTTGTATCACTCATTACTTTTATGTCGAATAACCTTACTTTCACAAAATGGTTTCAATGTAAGCACAGACGAACAGACAAAAAATCATAATAGGATCTGTCACTAGTCAGTTACAGTTCAAGTTGCCACACCCAATACTAACGCATCAAGTGACAATGCACTAAGATGAAAGACGAAGAAATAAAGAAGAATCGTTTAAACATAGTAAAAAGTCGTCAAAAGAGAGCCAGGCGGAGTGAGAGAATACTGAAATTCAGTATGACGAATAAAATGACGATAATGAGTGGGTACATGTGTATCATTGAGATCGATTGATTCTTAGCCATGTCATCCAGAGTCCCCAACAGACAGAGACACAGACAAAGTAGAACCTTGCAGACAAGTGCATCGGTTCAAGTTGCCTCACTTCACAGTATTATACAAAGAAGCAGCAGATAGGAAAGATAAGGGCATATCGGGGAAGACGAAATTTAAACATTAAGTAAGACTAGCCAAAACATTTGAGCTTTAGAATACATCAAAGAGTGAATAAATCTGCACTATTGTGACCAATTTTCAGCCATTCCACCAAGAGTCCTCAACCACTGGTTCCCATCGTGTCAGGGATTCCAGCCAGGTAGTCTACACTTCTCAATACAGCTCAGACCAACAGCCACGGATTTCATGCAATGATGCAATGTTTTCCAGTCTAAACCTGCTTCGCCGAGCAATGTGTCTGGGGCAGACGGTGGTTCGGTTCGCGCAGCACATGTCTCAGTCACCTGAGTTAATGAAGGTTCACTGTCTCATTGACTGACTCCCAATTTCCCCCAGAAACTACGCTTGACTTCTGCGTCACTGATGTAGTGGCACCACCACACGCGGTATGCTACAAAGGCAAAGGTGGTCGAATACCTGATATTTTCCCTTATATTCTCTACCTTTAATGACCTTGTTTCATAGCCACTCAGTTGAACAGAGGGGACTGCAACACAGTACACTCGGTGCTTAATAGACGATTGGATGCCACTGCTGGTAGGTAAATAGAGTAATTTTATAAAAGTCAAACGGGTATTTGTTTTACTTTGTGCAGAGATTCCGTGAGTCACTGAGCCATTAGAACTGATCAGACTTCCAAGGTAAGTGAAATTGTAAAGTTGTTCAACCACCTGTCACCTTCAGGTCAACAAATGCACCTTATGTTGGGCGTCGGTGTGTCTGTGTTCCGGAACCTTCACACATTGGTTGGTGTTGAAAACGAATTGAGATCGCAGTCTCAATCAGGGAAGAGACCTCTGAATAACCAGAGTTGTGCCGTAATCTCTGAGATTTGAGACATCTATTAAGAAGACTTTATTTCAACTCTAACCAGCTAGATTCACCCAGTCGTTATATTTTAATGAGACATCACTACCAATCCGTTATTGCCCCACTAACTGCCTTAACTAGAGCTTATCTATTCAAACGGAACATATAGATGTGCGAAAACGACCCATTACTTAGACTTAGGTTTTAAAACAACATTTTTATGATGTAGAAATATTTTACGTAATATACATCCATAATTCATAAATTTAGTCAGTTAATTGGCTCTGTTGTGGTTTTTGCGGTCCGTATTCCAGATACATGTCAGGAACTTGCTTAACCGAACAGCTTCAGGCTCTTCATATATTTTTGTCAGCATCAAGCAGGTAAATATTGAGTTTTTGCCGCTTCACTGATTTGTTGTCAAGTTTTCAGATTGTTTTTGATTCATCTCCTTGCCTTTAAACGTTCTTGCACGTGGCGTACAAGCCGCAATTACCTTGTAAGGATTAACGGTATCTGACCACTTGAAATTTACTTGATAGAACAGGCCTGAACTTAGCTGACCGTTTTAGAATCGATAGCCCGAGTCAATGAGCGATAATCTCATAGAGTTTGGGGAAACCATAACTGTCATTGAATATTTTATGTCGTGTGGACTGGTATTAAGGTTTATTTTTTTCAGTTATTGTTATAAGTATTTTTCTAAAATAACCATGGACAGGTCAGTGTTGTTGTTCTTATTGCTAAAATCTCATTTTTGCATGTGAATATCTAAAAAGCATCGAGGCCTGTCACTTAGAAACGATACGCTGACGGTAAATCTACTCTGGAATAAGATTTTAAAGGGAAATGAAATTAGTACTACAAATCATTCAGTCGGTCAATGACAACCTGGGACTAATGTATAGTGGCTCAAATTGTTAAATCTCACATTAACAAGTTGTTAGGTAACATTTGAGGTTGAAGATTTAATAAACAGTTTTAAAGTCAGTCTTAGTCCGATTCATCTAGCATCATATCGGATTAGACGGTGATCGAGCATGCGTAACACATTCCATCCACCGGAGTCGGTGAAGGTTCACTCTCTCATCGACTGACTTCCGTTTTCCCCCTAGAACTCCGCTTGACTTCTACGTTATTGATGTAGTGGCACCACCACACACGGTATGCTACAAAGGCAAAGGTGATCGAATACCTGATGTTCCTTTCATCTAACCAATCTCAGAGCAAGTGTAAAATGAACGGTATGGCAACCGCTGCGATGACATTCGAAACACATGTACAGGTAACGGAAGGTGTGTTCTAAGATGACTTCCCTCAGTGAATGACGATCTCTATTACGCCTAAGCACAACCCAACTCAAAACTACTTACACAGTGTTTTCATGCCATGCTACAGAAAAAATGGTTAGCGGACACATAGAGTCATTGGACATTTTTAGCTCACAGATGCCGAGTTTCATAGAAGTCGGGCAGAACTGCTTGCACCGAAACACTAAAAACCCGACGTTTTGTGAATAAATTGACTTCATGACGTTGCTGAAGATGATCCAGATTAGCACAAGCCGTTCTGGTTGAAACACATAGACATACAGACGAAATCAACTTAGAACTCACAAAAGCACATTGGTTCAAGTTGCCACACTTCACAGAAGTACAGAAAGAACAAGTAGTTAGGAAAGATTGATATCGAAATAGACAAAGATGTATGAGGGAGACGAAATTTAAACAGGTTAGTCAAAACAATGAAGCTTTAGATGTCATCAAAGAGCGAATACATCGTGGCCATTTAACCAAACGACCTCAATCACTGATTTCTGTCGTCTTGAGGATCCCCACCAGGTAGTTTACACCTCCCTACACCCCTCAGACTACCAGTCAGAGACTTCATATACTGGTGTCACTTTCTGGCTGGAATTTCTAACTACTCACCAGCTGAAATCATGAAACTACTCAGGCGCACAACCTTTTCGATAATTTTCAACGGCTCATGGCTAAGGACACAGTTACAGAATTCTACCGATCTTGTAGGAAAGCCCTTTGTACTTTGTCAGCTCGAAGCACGTAGAATACCTACTATCATTGGTTACTAACAGATTAACTGCAATTTGAGTAACCTGTATTTTGTTACATAGTAAAGTGATATCTTCTGAATACTAAAGGTCTAAAAGTTTTTCATATAGCAGCAGATCTACACCAACACCACTCCGATATACCTCCTTCATAGACAGCAAAGTTAGAGAGGAATGCCAAGGTCGGACAGTCCTGTCCAACCCCGTATTGCTTTGCAACAAATTAGAGAGGTAGCTGTAATCCTCCACTCTATCCGAGATGTTGACATGTAGGGTTTTCAATGTACCAACAAACTTCTCACGAATGCCTGTCTCTTAAAAATATTCTCAAACCAGAATCCTGTTGAAGGAATTCAAGGTAGCTTAAATTTCAAATGTTAGTCATTGTTTCGCTACTGTTGTCCTTGGCTTGACTCTGTGCCTGATCTCCGTGATCGTACTTCAATTATGTTTCTCCTTATTAATTAACGGACTGTCGGAATTACTAGAATACTTATTCTATCTGCTATTATTCTCTCCGGGTTTTAATGCACGGGTTCTATGCTACTGCCACCAACGTCATACTCCCTGACCCAGAGACAAGACAAGTGTGCTATACTCTCCCACAATGAGTATTCATGCATTTAATATAGTATATAGCCGATGCACAGGCACTAAAAGCGTTGAAATGTCAGCGAATCAAAACAAAGGAGTGAAGCTAAGGTCACTCAATGCTATTTGTTTATTGATCTTCATGACCTTGTGGAGGTGTCCTGACCGATAGCTAATATCTTGACGTGGTGATCCGGGTTGTATATCACAATGGTCCAGCGAGTTACACTAGCTCCAAAACTCGTTTTCTCAAGGTCCTACCTTGCCACATAAGTCTGTAGGTTCTTCATGAAATTAAAAGCAGTTACCACTTTAGTGTGAATTGCTACACTATAATGAGGCGTCCATGGGCAACGTTGTGCTGCTGACTGAACGAGTGCGACTGCAGTAATGTATTTACCTTGGATGACAAGCAGTGTCATGCTGATGCTGCCTTCGCTACGGGAAAGAAGGTTAGAAAAGGTAGGCTCGAAAAATAAGCAACAAAATCTTCTCTGTCCTGCAATCTACCGGTCCCGGCCGTGAGGGTTTTCTCTGTTCGGCCTTCAAAAAAGCAAATATTACATTAGCAGTCCTCAAATAGCTATATGATAGGCCTCATGCAGATGTCCCAAAGGCTCTTCTGTCACAAATCTTTTTCGTTCACAGAGACTATGAGCAAAAATGGCCTCCCACACAAGACCCAATCAAACATAATCTATCCTCCTCAACTCTGTCTCCTTCTTTGCCTTCACCTCTCGATACTAATATTAGGCCTCCTACGTCCTACCCAACCTCTCACTCTGTAACCACTTCCAACGATCAAAGCCATCGTGACTCATTCCTAGCCTCCTAGGTCCCCGCTATCGGTTTCATGTAGCACCTTCCAACGTCCGAACTCTGTGCCAAGTGGGACAGCAAACATTGCTCACACGAACTCCGGAGTCTCGGGCCATGAATCTATGCTGTGTCTGTGATACACGTATACAGACAAGACGCGAGTGTGCTTATTACATTGACGTCAGCTGGCCATAGTAGTAGATCTTCAAAATTTCATCTAACGAATATCCTGAGACTCAATGGTTAGCTCTTGTGGACTCGCTAGTGAAGGTATAGCATTGAGCTGTCGGGCAGAAAATGCACTTTTCGACTGGATACTTGTCAACAACCGTGTATGTGTTGTTTTACTGAATATATATATCTGTAAGAACTAGGAAAGATCGTGAGACTGACTAGCCGATGCCTATTCGTTATTTCCACCTACGCACGCATTGACTACACTTGGGATGACGCAAAGGATGAATCCCATGGAAAGTCATCAATTTTGCTGCAGAAATCAAAGCGTCCAAATATAGTCATGATATCAGGTGACTTTAATGCTCAAGTAGAGAAGCTGAGCTGAGTCAGTTGGAAAGGCATATTGGGGGGTAGTTACGGAATCCCATGCCAAGGAACCGTCAACGGTGGTCGTCTCCTGCAATTTTGTTCCAACAATCACTTGTTTCTGGCCAGCACTAACCTTAGGGATAGGGAGAGACACTGTTGCACATGGTGTCCGCTGACATTAAACCAACAATGAGCACAGATAGATCATATCGCCGTAAGCCAGTGCTGGAGACGATCGATGAAGGATGACCTTCCCTACTGTACTACCAGTTTGAATTCCGATCACCCGCTAGTACGGACTCGTGTATGTCTGCGTATGCCCTGCTGGACGTAGGGAACAGGAAGCAGTTTGACCCGTCTGTGCTCGATTGATAGATGAGGATGAGGAGTACGCATCTAGAGAGGAGTTAGCTAAGCATTTGTCTGAACGCGACAGCAATGCTCATCATGAGGAATCCAGGCGTGATACTAAGTCTGCTGTTGAGACATTTGGTAACCCATACTTTACGGTTAGCAAACGTCATTGGATCTCCACCTTGTTATCCGAACTGATTGATGCGAAAAGCCTTAATCCATCTGGCTCTGACCACGATTGAGATTGAAAGCAGTTCAAACGTAAGTTGACCAAAAGTCCTCGTGTCTATCGCGTACTATGGTGGGTGACGAAAGCAAGAGAGATGGAGGAAGCATGAGCACTGGGTAGAGCTCGATAACTACTTAGGCTTATTAAAGATACCGGGAGAAGACGATGGTTAGTAAAGCCATCACCGAAAAGGATGGAACTCTGATGACCCTCCTCCAGGACAGCTGGACAGAACGTCCGGCGGAACACTTCGAAGCACACTCCAAGTAGTCCTCAGCAATGCTCCAGTTGCTCAATATCCACCCTTAACCTGAATGGGAAGAAGATGTCGGTACTCCGACTCTCATCGAAGTTGAGAAAGCTGTATCGAAACTGACCATAGAAAGCAGCTTAATCTGACATTTTGGCACCCGGGAATTTCGAAGATAGAGGTATGAAATTTCTCCTTAAATAAAGAGACAGCTTTAAGGTTGTGGATAGTAATCATACGTAGTGCTATCAGATAGGTATACTTCACTGATCACCTCAGTCTATGGGGAGAAGGTAAAATGTTATGGTTACAACAACAGGGGAATTAGTTAGGCTGATATTGTACCCTAGATCGTAGAGTCTATAGTTATCCGACGCCTAAGTGGATCTTGAGAACAGCAAACTCGAGAAAACTAGGTTATGGAACACAGGCATACCTAAAGATGGTCCACGCTTGGCATGTTTCTTCACCTGAAGGCCGCATTTAACTCTGTCAACCGTGAGGTGTTGTGACAGTGTCTGAATATGAAGAGAGTACCAAGTAAGTATGTAACGCTAATCAAAGATCTCTACTCGAACTCATAGAGCCATGTAATGGCTTATGGAAAGTTGTCATCAGAATTGACAACAACTAGTGGTCTCCGCCGGGGATACCCATTGTCACCGTTCCTATTTAACTTTGTCATAAACGTGCTAATGTATATAAGTTTAAATGTGTCTGACTTCATCACAGGGATTGACCTACTCCCTGGAGGTCTCCTGATTTACTTGGAGTATGCAGACGATATTGCCCTGCTGGGTGAAAACGCTGACGCAATGCAGGGTCTTCTGAACGCGTTGAGCATAAATCTGTGTATGTTTAGCGTGCGTTTCGCTAGCACTTGTCAAATGTAAGATGACCCTCTAGGACTAGTATGCAACCACTCCCAGTTTAAGGAAGGATAGAGAGTGTAGTGGTGGAATTTGTCGACCACTTCACTTACTTGAGGAGATGCATCAGCCCAAACGGGTTGGGTGCTGACGAGATTTCAGCTCGAATACAGAAGGCCCGTTTGACATCTGCCAACTTGCAACACCTGTGGCACCGACTGGTGAGATATCCGACTATCTATCAAAGGACGAGTATACTGCCCTGCAGTCCGTTTTATCCTGTTGCACGGTTGTGAGACAGAGCCGTTTAAAGTGGACAACATGAAGCGGTTGTACGGTTCTCATCATAGGTGTCTTCGCAACATTGCTCACATATGGTGGAATCATCGTGAGAGGAATGTTGAGGTCAGGCGAAGGGTACTAGGCAAGGAAGGCAAGTCAGTCTATAAGGTAGTGAACCTTGACCGATTCAGATAGCTGAGACATGTGTTGCACACGCTGATCCACCGCCTACCTTGAAGTGCAATGTTACAGGAAGTTGGATTAGATTAGATGATTCAGGGTGGCCAAACCAAGATGTGACACCAGTACATAAAATCCCTGATTGTTGGTCTGAGCTGTATTGAGAAGTGTAGACTACCTGGCTGGGATCGCTGAAAAATCCAAATATTCGGCATTTCTGAGTTCATTAGTAAAGGTTTTATGGAAATATAGTTAACCAGGAAGAGGATTATTTTGAAAGTGATGTTTTAATGGTTCAATATGGGGGATATAACTGTTACGCTGTCAAGTAAATGTTATTATTTCATTACTCTTCAGGGCCTCATATAGATCAAGGATGAAATATGCCTGCCACACGTATGGCAAATGTTTTTAATACTTCTTCGAGAAAAAAATTTTTTTAGTAACTCTATATTTCGGTATTTAACTGATAGTTGCTACCATCGGAAAGTTTGATTGGACTTTACTAAGTTACCCCACTTATGGTGTCGGCGAGGTACGCAGTCACTTATTAAGGATTCAGTGCACAGCATAACAGCCTTTTGTGTGTAATACATGATCACTAAAGGTGGAGGATATGAAGATGCTCCAGTTGTTTAATCACTAAAGCATTTCCTGTGTATCATCGATTCACCATATGAATCATGTCAATTATATGCATAAAACCTTGCATCTTGTGAGGAAATAAGATGTTGGAACTTGGATCCGTTACACATTCGTGCCGTATTCCACGTTGACCTCCACTGACCCTCTTAGAAGCTTTGACAGTCATCTCTTTTCCACCTTTATAAATATTGTGATTTCTGTAAAATCGATACATTTTCTGTATTAGGTGCTTTTTGGATAGTTTTCATCACGAACTGTTGTTTGGACAGATTTTTAAAACTGAAATGCAGACTAACTTAGTTTGCTTGTCCTCAAGATAACATTTTATATTTCTGTTACTGCTCAAATGTAATGTTCCCCTTGAAATATTGACTAACTGGACTTAATCTCGTCATTGGTTACTGTCAAACATTTTCGGAAACGTTTAAATGCAGAGCATGGCTACTGTTTAGTACCTCTTTCATTTGCTTCCAGTTCGTGATGAAATTATTCTCATATTATTCAAATTTCTGAAACTGTCAACCTGAATTATTTGCTTTTGATTTTGTTTATTTTCCATTGCAAAAGTCGTAATTATTTGCTTGAGTTTTTGGAGCATGGCGGTGTATTGTGTTTACAAGAATGTGTATTTCATCAACTAGCAAAGAGGTGGATAAACTTTGGGCGCTTAAAGTGCTATCTTGCGTAGCCGACGCTGGTACTCGTTATAAGCAGACAATATGTGAATGCTATGGTAAATTAGCTTTTTTAATTATATCACCAGTTTTACCGAGCTTACTTGTTTATTTCTGTTTCATTATTCTATCTAAGTAGTGTTTGTATGATTTATTGAGGTGTCTTTTGTATATGCCTAATATTTCCAACTTACAAATTTTTCAGATCTTTGATTTTCACCTGTATCTAGTCCACTCCTTAGGTTCATATGTTTATCTCTCTAGTATCTAATTTGTTTACAGCACTCAGGAAAGTTGGTGAATAAGATCTTGTTTTTCTGAAGAATAGCTATTTCACAAGTCTGCTTTCAGTGAAGATTTCGCAAAGAGTTTGTTCTTCCCTAATTGATGAGTGGTGATAGAGTTTTACTGAAGTGGTCCATTATACTTACATTTTAAATCAAAATGAAGTAGCAGACTTTGTGTACAGTCTTTATAGGTATTTATTAAGTCAACACTAGTGGGTAGTCTTATTTCCCCTTCATTCTGCGTAATTGATTAGTTTGTGTTATGCATTTGATTAGCTGGTACCGTGATGTTAGATTTATATTTTGGTATGCATTTGAAGGTGGTAGAAATGTTGCCTTTTAAGGAAATCATTTTTCTTTGGCTCATTTAGCTCATTATTTTACATGAATCGTATAAATCATAGATGTGTTATCGTTGAAGTGGTATATCTAGGGATTAAGGTGTAGAGGTCCGGACGATAACTATGTCACTTGCATCACATGTTAATAAGTATAAGTACTTTCGGCTCCTCACATAAAAAATTCGATAGCTAGTAATTAGCATTTATATCAACTATATGTTAAGTCTTTGTCAAGAAAAAAATACTGAAGATACTATGGTCAACACCATAGCATGGAGATCAATGCATCATGGACGGATACCCCAACATGCCTATATAGTTACCTAATGTAGACTTATGTTCCTCACCATATTTCTTTTAGGACGTATAAAGAAAATAAATATAATACCTGCCGTTACCGCGTAGCCGTTCAAGTTGCCACACCCAATACTAACACATCAAGTGACAATGCACTAAGATGAAAGACGAAGAAATAAAGAAGAATCGTTTAAACATAGTAAAAAGTCGTCAAAAGAGAGCCAGGCGGAGTGAGAGAATACTGAAATTCAGTATGACGAATAAAATGACGATAATGAGTGGGTACATGTGTATCATTGAGATCGATTGATTCTTAGCCATGTCATCCAGAGTCCCCAACAGACAGAGACACAGACAAAGTAGAACCTTGCAGACAAGTGCATCGGTTCAAGTTGCCTCACTTCACAGTATTATACAAAGAAGCAGCAGATAGGAAAGATAAGGGCATATCGGGGAAGACGAAATTTAAACATTAAGTAAGACTAGCCAAAACATTTGAGCTTTAGAATACATCAAAGAGTGAATAAATCTGCACTATTGTGACCAATTTTCAGCCATTCCACCAAGAGTCCTCAACCACTGGTTCCCATCGTGTCAGGGATTCCAGCCAGGTAGTCTACACTTCTCAATACAGCTCAGACCAACAATCAGGGATTTTATGTACTGGTGTCACATCTTGGTTTGGCCACCCTGAATCATCTAATCTAATCCAACTTCCTGTAACATTGCACTTCAAGGTAGGCGGTGGATCAGCGTGTGCAACACATGTCTCAGCTATCTGAATCGGTCAAGGTTCACTACCTTATAGACTGACTTGCCTTCCTTGCCTAGTACCCTTCGCCTGACCTCAACATTCCTCTCACGATGATTCCACCATATGTGAGCAATGTTGCGAAGACACCTATGATGAGAACCGTACAACCGCTTCATGTTGTCCACTTTAAACGGCTCTGTCTCACAACCGTGCAACAGGATAAAACGGACTGCAGGGCAGTATACTCGTCCTTTGATAGATAGTCGGATATCTCACCAGTCGGTGCCACAGGTGTTGCAAGTTGGCAGATGTCAAACGGGCCTTCTGTATTCGAGCTGAAATCTCGTCAGCACCCAACCCGTTTGGGCTGATGCATCTCCTCAAGTAAGTGAAGTGGTCGACAAATTCCACCACTACACTCTCTATCCTTCCTTAAACTGGGAGTGGTTGCATACTAGTCCTAGAGGGTCATCTTACATTTGACAAGTGCTAGCGAAACGCACGCTAAACATACACAGATTTATGCTCAACGCGTTCAGAAGACCCTGCATTGCGTCAGCGTTTTCACCCAGCAGGGCAATATCGTCTGCATACTCCAAGTAAATCAGGAGACCTCCAGGGAGTAGGTCAATCCCTGTGATGAAGTCAGACACATTTAAACTTATATACATTAGCACGTTTATGACAAAGTTAAATAGGAACGGTGACAATGGGTATCCCCGGCGGAGACCACTAGTTGTTGTCAATTCTGATGACAACTTTCCATAAGCCATTACATGGCTCTATGAGTTCGAGTAGAGATCTTTGATTAGCGTTACATACTTACTTGGTACTCTCTTCATATTCAGACACTGTCACAACACCTCACGGTTGACAGAGTTAAATGCGGCCTTCAGGTGAAGAAACATGCCAAGCGTGGACCATCTTTAGGTATGCCTGTGTTCCATAACCTAGTTTTCTCGAGTTTGCTGTTCTCAAGATCCACTTAGGCGTCGGATAACTATAGACTCTACGATCTAGGGTACAATATCAGCCTAACTAATTCCCCTGTTGTTGTAACCATAACATTTTACCTTCTCCCCATAGACTGAGGTGATCAGTGAAGTATACCTATCTGATAGCACTACGTATGATTACTATCCACAACCTTAAAGCTGTCTCTTTATTTAAGGAGAAATTTCATACCTCTATCTTCGAAATTCCCGGGTGCCAAAATGTCAGATTAAGCTGCTTTCTATGGTCAGTTTCGATACAGCTTTCTCAACTTCGATGAGAGTCGGAGTACCGACATCTTCTTCCCATTCAGGTTAAGGGTGGATATTGAGCAACTGGAGCATTGCTGAGGACTACTTGGAGTGTGCTTCGAAGTGTTCCGCCGGACGTTCTGTCCAGCTGTCCTGGAGGAGGGTCATCAGAGTTCCATCCTTTTCGGTGATGGCTTTACTAACCATCGTCTTCTCCCGGTATCTTTAATAAGCCTAAGTAGTTATCGAGCTCTACCCAGTGCTCATGCTTCCTCCATCTCTCTTGCTTTCGTCACCCACCATAGTACGCGATAGACACGAGGACTTTTGGTCAACTTACGTTTGAACTGCTTTCAATCTCAATCGTGGTCAGAGCCAGATGGATTAAGGCTTTTCGCATCAATCAGTTCGGATAACAAGGTGGAGATCCAATGACGTTTGCTAACCGTAAAGTATGGGTTACCAAATGTCTCAACAGCAGACTTAGTATCACGCCTGGATTCCTCATGATGAGCATTGCTGTCGCGTTCAGACAAATGCTTAGCTAACTCCTCTCTAGATGCGTACTCCTCATCCTCATCTATCAATCGAGCACAGACGGGTCAAACTGCTTCCTGTTCCCTACGTCCAGCAGGGCATACGCAGACATACACGAGTCCGTACTAGCGGGTGATCGGAATTCAAACTGGTAGTACAGTAGGGAAGGTCATCCTTCATCGATCGTCTCCAGCACTGGCTTACGGCGATATGATCTATCTGTGCTCATTGTTGGTTTAATGTCAGCGGACACCATGTGCAACAGTGTCTCTCCCTATCCTAAGGTTAGTGCTGGCCAGAAACAAGTGATTGTTGGAACAAAATTGCAGGAGACGACCACCGTTGACGGTTCCTTGGCATGGGATTCCGTAACTACCCCCCAATATGCCTTTCCAACTGACTCAGCTCAGCTTCTCTACTTGAGCATTAAAGTCACCTGATATCATGACTATATTTGGACGCTTTGATTTCTGCAGCAAAATTGATGACTTTCCATGGGATTCATCCTTTGCGTCATCCCAAGTGTAGTCAATGCGTGCGTAGGTGGAAATAACGAATAGGCATCGGCTAGTCAGTCTCACGATCTTTCCTAGTTCTTACAGATATATATATTCAGTAAAACAACACATACACGGTTGTTGACAAGTATCCAGTCGAAAAGTGCATTTTCTGCCCGACAGCTCAATGCTATACCTTCACTAGCGAGTCCACAAGAGCTAACCATTGAGTCTCAGGATATTCGTTAGATGAAATTTTGAAGATCTACTACTATGGCCAGCTGACGTCAATGTAATAAGCACACTCGCGTCTTGTCTGTATACGTGTATCACAGACACAGCATAGATTCATGGCCCGAGACTCCGGAGTTCGTGTGAGCAGCGGTTGCTATACGAGATCTGAGAAAGATTCGCGTTTTGGTGCTTTTGTTGTATATAAGACTCAACGTGTTTTCAGTGTCTTTGCGTACCGGGACTATTGCCTTTGGGCACTTTCGATGTGCTAACTGCTTTTTGGGTAATATCGATCCCTTTGTGGTGAGACGAGTGAATGAGACTTCCATAAGTGCTTGGTTGATTGAGTTGGGAAAGAAAGGAGAGAGTGGTCATCGTGGATGTATACCATTCGACGTTTACGTCTTAATATAGGTTGTAAGAATCCCACAGGTTTTCGAGTGGTGAGCCTTTACCCGGGTGATGTACTTACTCGTCATGCGTCTCTTTGAGAGACACTGCCATAAGACCTCTCGATCGACGGAGTTGGATGTCGCCTTCAGGTCGAGAAATACAGTCATTGTGGAGCGTTGGTAAGTGAGCGTGTGTTTGAGAGCCTGATGGATAGTGAGTGTCTAGTCTGTAGAGTCGAAGTCAGGTGTGAAGCGTACCTGGTTTCTTTGGGTCTGTGGCTTCCGAGCTCCACTCTGGCACCTGATACTCAGAATGTAGAATGTTGGGCAGTTGTCGTGAGACCTATTCCTTTGTTCTTTAGGACAAGAGGATTTGTACCCTTTATTGAAGACTGGGATAACCAGGGATCGATACCATTCGAAAGGGGGTCATATCCGACTGCCATAGATCAGGTAACACTTCGGTTAAGGTGAGAGATAATTGGAGACCACCATCGTTAAATACCTTTCGCCCCAAGCTTCTACCAGATGGTTGTTATTTTTTTTTGGGATGACTGTCTAGCGAGTTTCGTCTTGGAGACAGCATTCACAGTAGTCCTGCTGCTGCAGTTTTCTACTTCCATTTAACTGCAACCATTCGCATGCTTGTACCAGCGTATGGTTGAGAATTTGAATAACTAGGCGTTTTACTGAGTATGATAAATTGCTTAATTTACGATTATCCTTTGATGTCTGTTGTGGAACTGTAGTTATTGATGTGTTGAATTTACCACTGGATGAGGTTAATTGTACTGATGTTAAGGTTAAGAATTGAAATGCCTTTTGTGATTCTGAGTGTTTAGAAAATGTAAGTGAATTACGGGCTGTACATTTGAGTATTTAAATATTTCAGTGGTAAAATGAATTGATAGATAGATAGTTCTCGTTAATATATTATTGCATTCATACATTGCTTTCCAGCGTAGTTCAGTAGTATTTATTTCAAGTCGTTTATATAAGGATAAGTTTTCAGTGATTTTGATTCTTTGCATCTCGAAGGTGTAATGATATGTATCACGTTAGTGACATGAATGAAAAGCATCCTTTGGGATGTTTGTAATCGTTAATGTTCGTAATGACATTGAAAGATTTATGTTGGAAAGATTTGGCGCAAAAAGTACAACGCAGTCATAATATCGCAAAGTTACTTTTCTTTTGCACACAAATAGGAATTGGTAATATGGTTAACTAGACTTGGTAATGTATAGAAAATGAGCCTTGTTTCAACTTTTAATATCTGCTTAGTAAAATAACTTCACAGTTCAAGCAAGTAAAAGATGTCAGTGATAGGCTCTTTTGCATAAACATTCGTGCGCCACTTTTGTAGGAATAGTCTGATTTTTAACTATTTTTGCATTCATGTTTTATGGTGTAATGCACACTAGTATAGTGATTTTCTTAGTGAAATGCAATTTTATACTGTCATTTATTGGTTTGGATTGTCTTATCTGCGGATAATGGAAAGAAACGTTATTCTGTGGGTTGGCATTATTGTTGGAAAAATTAGTGTTGACTTTTGAAGATGATGATTCTAGGGGAGTTTTCTAATGGGTCGGCTTTTGCTTACTACCATAGCTCTCTACCAAACAAACTAACAACAATCGGATATCAATTTCTACTTCATTATTTTCGTTTAAATGTGTTTGTCATTCTAGGCCGTTTCAAATAGCTTCATTATTGATCATTGAGTCGCTTCCACTATTTTACTCAATTAACATTGGGTTGTTATGAGGAAGGCCAGACTAGTTAGATTGTGTAATGAAGCACAAATAATTGTATATTTTTGTATACATGGTTTTTGGATTTAATAACTACTACTTGAATAAGTTAGTGGGTTTACCAGAAGAAAAAAGCAAACTCGAAGTTTAAATTAGGCTGATATATTTTCCTCCTTATAGAGGTGATGAAATGAATTTGAGTGTTTTACAGAAGCAGTTTATTTCATTTTAAAAAGTGTCTTTGGTGGTCTAGATTCTTTGAATGTTGTAACTAACTTCATTATTTATTTGTTTAAAACACTAGAAATCATTCATAAATACATGAGTGAAAATGATACGTAGATACAGAAGGGGAAAGATATGACAGTAGTGGTTACAATGGGATTAGCAACAGTAATAATGATATTTAGTGGTGCAGTCCAAACACGAATAGAATAAAAGAGGATTTTACTTCTCTTCTTGACCTATTATTAAGTTCATTTTACTGTTTATGTGAAGCACATTAGAAGCCATCAACTTCACTAAACGACAACTTATTGTTGATCCATTGTCATACTTTGTTTGACGGTGTGGATACTTTAACGGCTCTTCTACTAACATCCTTTCCATACGTAAGAAGCTTGTGAGATTATTTTAAGAATTCCTCAGCTATTTTAGATGGTATGCCTACTTACTATACTACCCCTGTTATCGTTTAATCCTAAAAAAGATATAAACCCCAAATAGCTTTTAAGTGGTCAATTTTCACAGTCATGTAATCAGCTAGGTCCTGCTAGTACATTGTTTATTCGAGTATGGGTGGTAGGTAGATAATGTCGATTTTTGAAGACTATTTAATCCTTCTGTATTCATCTAGGGACTTGATTGACACTATTTACCAAGACTCACCCGAACTTTTGACAAAGTAGATCATTTGACAACTGCTCTAACTTTTTATTATCTTTAAAAAACTTTGAATTCTTCGGACGCTCTACTTAGGACTCCAGAAGTGAAAGATATTGGCATTTATGGAACTGCGAAGTTGATATTCTTGGTAATTTTCAAAACAACGGCATCACTTAGCGATTTAAACTTGCTGCAGGTCATTATCAAGCTGAATACTGCAAAGCCAATCTAGCACGTTGGTTTTTCAAACTAAAACTTTTCAGTTTCACGTTACACCTTGTAATCTAACTATTCTTGTGATGAAGTCAAAATGTTAAACACTAATTATGAATTATATATATTGCGCTTATATGATTCTGTTTTTATAACATCTTAGGTATTCGTGCTGTTGCTGAATGCATGGCCAAATCGAAATCAGAAGACACACAAGAAGTGGCTAGAGACTTACTAGAAATGTTAGCTGAAGGCAATCCACGTTTCTCTGATCAAGTGTACAAAGGATTAATTGGTGTTTTGCCATGCAATTCACCAAAGGCTCAACAATTAGCTCTGCAAAGTATACGAGTTTTGCAGGTAGGTTATTTCATTTCAAATATAACTAAAATGTAGTACAATCTTTAGTGTCGTAAGAATACACTACCTCTTTTATGTCTTTCAGTTATTTTTTTAATTATCCATGGATTGGTTTTGTTGGTCTTATGTCAGTTAAGTGGATTTCATGTGATTTTAGTCATTTTACCAAATTGTGGTAAATGATAGTGCTACTACAGCTTTACTCTCATCTGTATTGTATGAGGATTATGTTAGATAACCCAGAAAATATACGAAAGACGCTGATTTGTGGTCAGAATTTTACTGTTAATACCCATTTATTAATAAATAATCGAGGAAACGGTGTATTCTTTCTGTGTTTGGCGTGTTGAACTGATTTTCAGTAGTAAGCTGTATAAAATCTCACTGCTTATACCTGCCAACATACTGAACAATTAACCAGTGATAGCGATCATTGCGTTAAATGCTTGTCTCACCGATCAGGTAAATAATTTTCTGCTACTGAACTATTCTGGCTGACGTTGCATCTAAGATCCTAGGGTTCCTGGTCTTTCAACACCTAACTCCTGCTCCTAAACAACTAACTCGAGGAAGTTTGACAGAATTCAGGTAAAAACTAAGATGCATTTATCAAATATCCACACTTCAACAGGCTCAGAAATACAGGCGTATATACTAGTACCCAAAACACCACATTTCTTGATTTGACGGCGGCATTCGACACCGTTTACCGAGAGCTGTTATGGAAGTGCTCGATTACGAGGACAGCACTGAGTAAGCAAATTGTGCTAACCAAGACTTCCTAACCGAACTCACACAGCCTTGTAAGGGTTTACGGGGAGTTGTCACCTGAATTGACGAAAATCAACGGTATTCACTCTTACTTTGCCATAGATTTACTGAGTTTGGATGCCTTTGACTTTTCATGGGCCATTGCAAAATATCTGACTGCATGTATAGTATATAGTATAGTATAATATCGTATAGTATAGTATAGTGTGCAACAGTCGTGTCTGTTCTACTGTAAGACATGGAGACATGAAGAGCTAACAGGGTTTTCAACCAAGATGTTTTAGTAGCATTCTTTTCGCTCGGTGAAATGACTATGTGAACATTAAGCGTAGAGTAGTAGATATGTATGGGGAGTCAGTCGATGGGGTTGGGAACCCCTTACTGACTGAAGTTACTGAGACATGTGTTGCACATGCTGAGTCATCTTTTTTCTCTTTGTGCGATGCTAACCGAAGTTGGATTAGGTGGCTAGTATTTGGGACTAACCCATGAAATTCCTGACTTTTTCATTGAGCTGTATAAACTGTCTGGTTGGCGTTATCGAGAGGATAAGAGTGAATGGGTAGTGATCACTGCCATCAGTCAACGTAGGTATTTGGTAAACCAGTTTGCTGTTTCACATTTTAGTAAAGGAAAATGAAAATATGCGATTAAAAACAGTAAAATGAGTTAGAATAAAACATACATAAAGAATCAGAGTAACTACAATTTAAGCATTCGATGTTTTTCGTCGTCGAATGTTTCTGCACCATCTGACCCTCAATAGTTTTATTATCTTCACTTGACGGCTCACAATTTAATTTTCCTTTTGTTATTCAGTGGTCCCAACATTGTTAAGTATTTCTTTTAAGGTATTAATATCTTCAACGGATTTGTTTCGAAAGTTCTGAAGATAACAGTGCGATGGTAACAAGATTAAATAATTGATTATATAATATGGCTCCCTGACAGATTCAGAGGTTCCCATTAGGATTCCTGAACAACTGGTTTATGCTGTCCGGATTCTCTAAGTCTGAAGTGAATTGAATTGCAGCGAATGTTTATGAAATCGATACAGAACCTGTGAATGCATATTATTACTTTGAATATCGTTGATTGTAGTTGTCATAAGTGTTCTGTTTTTCTTCCTGTCTTTATTTGGCGAAGACTATTCCAGGACCCTCTGGTCGAATGAGTTTCTTGTCATTGTAAACATATTTTGGATTACTTCGGAAATACAATTTCACTTCGGATTGTGATGGATAATGATGGGAATGTGATGCATGTGAACATTGTTTTCGAAGTCTTAATACATAGTTGGACTGACTTTTGACTGCATGCTCTTTCCAGCCCACGCTTACCCTTCGATGTAATCTGCATTTCTTTTGAGATACTTGATCAGCGTCATTAAGGTATTTCAATGTAAAAACCATGAAGCAAATATTATATATTGGTATAACTTTGCATAATAAGCAGATTGATGTGTATAAAAAACTATTTCTTTTGGTAATGAGATAAATATGTTCAAAGTAATGGTTTATAGTTTGGTGGTGTTACTATCGATGGTCAACATTGGATATCTATGCTTATTTATATACAGAGTAGTGTAGGATGGTATAGATATTTCTGTGTGTACTCACTTATAGTTTAGTTGAGTCTTTTTTGACAAAATTCACTTCGAAAGAAACAAAAATTGTTTTTCTCTCCATTCCATCTATATAACCTACTCAAACCGGTTACACATGTTTCTGTAATGAACAGAGATTGATAAGAGAAAGGATTTATTTCTGTCTCTATTATTTGATCACGCATTTGTTTGTTGATATTTCCTCATGTCATTGCATCCTCTTACGTATATAGATGTATGGGTAACACTTAATCTACTGTAATCAGATCCACGTTATCGTGATTGAAAGAGAAGGGTAATCGTCTTTCAAAATCTTGGTTACGTAGTAATACTGAAGGTGGTTGACCCTCTACTTCACTGCTGTTGTGATATATATTCAGGTAATAAGCGGTATTCGGTTAGTAAACCATAAAGTTATCAGTTAGCCATCATCTCCGTAAGATTTGGCTTTACTTCCTAGCAGTCCAAGCTGCCACACAGCATATAAAGATCGGAGGCGAAAGATGAAAAATAGACAAAAAATAATGAAACGAATCAAAATCTGTTGAAAGTAATAAAAAGAAAACGTGAAGGAATAGATCACTGTTTAAATTCGGCATGCTCATCAGGATGGAGATAATGTGCATCTGCACAAATGGGGTTAATTTTGAGCCATATCTCCCAAAGTGTTTAACTACCGATTTCGGTTGTCACGCAGACCCCATCTGAGAAATCTACATTCACCTACATGACTTAGGCTAACAGTCCAAGACGTCATGGACTGATGCTGTGTTTCATCCTGGCCACTGTTAACATTTTTCCAGTCTAGGACTAACTCATCTTACATCCCAAAACGAGTTAGACTGTGATTAGGCCTATGTAATATATATCCTAATCCTATCAGTTGATTAACGTCTACGATGACGTTAAACTGGCTTGCCTCTTTTATCTATATTAATAACTTGGTGGTCACATGATACAGGACCAATCCTACTCTAAGTTTAGTAAGGAGTCTTGTATTTAAAGATCCAACCAAGTAAAGCCACGTAAGAAGATGGATATCTTCATAAGCGTATATATATCTAAATTATATAAGGATGGGGAGAGAGGACATTCTCGACGAACACCACACGACGTACATGAATTATCGGATGGGACGCACCAACTGTTGTTCGAATACAGAGCCTTCAATAGAGTAGTTTATCTAACCAAAGCCTTTTGCAGTGGAAGACACTGTTGTATGACCTCTTGATTAATGGAGTCGAACGCCACCTGCATGATAGATTTAATTTCTGTTTAACGTTCGTTTGTTTTATCCTTAGGCATATTTAAATCTTTACCAACTAATTTACGACTTTAATTGTAATGAGAAATAAGCTATCAGTCTATGCTTAACAATTGTGACTATGATGTTAGAATGTTAATTATCATGTCTTTATTCGAATCAGACTGGGTGGTTCTAGAGTTCGACGACTGGATGTCTCAAAGAGTCTCCGTCCTATAGTGACATTTGCAATATTTTACCAATGAGTGTATTGTACCTGATCGTTTATGCTTTATGCTATGAGTTACAAGCATTTGGATGTATTTTAAGCCATATATTTATGAGGTACTCCATATCGGTTACTCTTTCAGTGTAAAGCCTTCATAATTTAAAGGGAATGTAATTTAGAGTTTCGAAAAAAGTGTTTTTAGAGCAGATATTGTAGATTAACAGATTTCCAAGTTTAATGGTTCTTCCGTTAGACTTACCTTTTATCACTATAGATGATCTTATTCCATTGTTCATTGATTAATGCATTTCATAACACGTGCACGAGTCGTTTTGGATTTACGGCCGATGTAGAAATTGTACCAGAGATATTCGTAATACAGTTTTCCGGGTTAACTGTAGTTGAATGTCCACTTCATAAATTTCTACGAAACAATAAGACAGTTTATCTAAAAAGTGAAGGTTATTCGCGCGGTACCGTTCAAAATGGCCCCACACATACTTGTCATTCATATTCATGTTAAGAATAAATGGATTAGGAAAATAATCAGTGTAATGAAGGTTAGTGGGGAATATTTGTAGCTCATGTGGATGGTCTTGGCTGTATTATGTTCTCTGAGCTAGGTTGTTTGACCGTAAAGCTTCCATCTTCTTTCTGGATGACATCAGCACTAACTTCAGTATAAAGGACAGATGGATTCAGATAAACTACCTCTCCTTATTGCTTTTTGAAGTTTGATTCGTCAGTATCCTGATGATCCTGATAGTTTCCATATTGAACTTTATATATATATATATATATAATATATATATATATATATATATATATATATATATATATATTCCTGTTGTTGCTGTTGTTATTACTTGACTGACAGTTGATTACTTTTATTTCCATTTTGATTTCCTTTAGAGTAAACGTAATACAGCTAACAGAGCTTTAATCGATAGGATAATTTATCTGCTTGAGTCACTACATTTGGAAGTACAATCAGCCGGTAACTACCTATTTAATCCATTTATATCAATGTTAGTTATTGAAGGAAATTTTATTTTCCCAACGGTCTGAATTGACCCGAGATAGCCTAACATAAACGCTAGAGCTGCTGGGATACCATGTTCTTCCTAGGACTTCTTATTATAATGACTCCGTTTCGATATTCTTCGTCTTGTGCCTCGCTTTACTGATTCGAGATTTGATCATTTGCACCGTGACCCAGTGATGCTAGGTTCTTTGTTGATAATAAACTGAGCTATCCAAACCATATGTTTCCACCTATCTACTGACCTCAGCAAAAATTTTAAAACAAAATAGGCGGGTGTGAGTTTATCAGTGTGGGAACTTAATGAAGAAGGAGAAATTTTCCTAATGCATTGGTCAGTTAGTGGGTATGTTGGCGTGTGTTGAACCTAATGGTTGACATTTTGCTTCTAGCGTTCAGAAGGTTGCGCAACTGCGTAGGAGTTTAACTTCTTTTGTTTGCTTGCAGCACGAGGTCTCTTCGTTATGATTGATTAACTATTATTGTTTGACTGAAGTGATGAAGGTTGTCCTGGTATGATTGGTTGACTCTTCTGTACTGAAGGCCTGGCCGATAGCTGCCACCTTGACATGGTAGTCAGGCTTGCATATCACAATGACCTAACGGGATTCACTGGCTTGAAAGTTTTTTCCCTCGAGTTCTTACCATGCCCATAACGTCTACTGCTTAGTGGTAAGGCTAAATGAAGTTATCGTATTGGTGTAAATTGCTGCACTATGATGATCGTCCGAGGGAAACATTATACTGCTGACTGAACGAGGGTGTGATGGCAGTAAGGCGTTTCCCTTGGATGACCAGCAATGCCATGCTCATGCATCCTTCTCTACTGAAAGAAGGGTTATAGAAAAGGTGGTCTCCAAAAATAGCATACACTTCTGCCCTGCCCTGCAGTCCTCCAGTGTCGATGGTATGTTTTTCCTATGCAATCACAGACCAAAAGTCGTCAAGTGATTGTGTATGATAGGCTTGAAGCAGATGGCCCGTGGGCTCTATTTCAGGTGCCCTACGAAAAAATAACTTTCTACAGGAGGTGTCAACCGCCCCCAAAATGCATAAGACCCAATCAAACATAATCTATCCTCCTCAACTCTGTCTCCTTCTTTGCCTTCACCTCTCGATACTAATATTAGGCCTCCTACGTCCCACCAACCTCTCACTCTGCAACCACTTCCAACGATCAAAGCCATCGTGACCTCATTCCTAGCCTCCTAGGTCCCCGCTATCGGTTTCATGTAGCACCTTCCAACGTCCGAACTCTGTGCCAAGTGGGACAGCAAACATTGCTCACACGAACTCCGGAGTCTCGGGCCATGAATCTATGCTGTGTCTGTGATACACGTATACAGACAAGACGCGAGTGTGCTTATTACATTGACGTCAGCTGGCCATAGTAGTAGATCTTCAAAATTTCATCTAACGAATATCCTGAGACTCAATGGTTAGCTCTTGTGGACTCGCTAGTGAAGGTATAGCATTGAGCTGTCGGGCAGAAAATGCACTTTTCGACTGGATACTTGTCAACAACCGTGTATGTGTTGTTTTACTGAATATATATATCTGTAAGAACTAGGAAAGATCGTGAGACTGACTAGCCGATGCCTATTCGTTATTTCCACCTACGCACGCATTGACTACACTTGGGATGACGCAAAGGATGAATCCCATGGAAAGTCATCAATTTTGCTGCAGAAATCAAAGCGTCCAAATATAGTCATGATATCAGGTGACTTTAATGCTCAAGTAGAGAAGCTGAGCTGAGTCAGTTGGAAAGGCATATTGGGGGTAGTTACGGAATCCCATGCCAAGGAACCGTCAACGGTGGTCGTCTCCTGCAATTTTGTTCCAACAATCACTTGTTTCTGGCCAGCACTAACCTTAGGGATAGGGAGAGACACTGTTGCACATGGTGTCCGCTGACATTAAACCAACAATGAGCACAGATAGATCATATCGCCGTAAGCCGATGTTGGAGATAATAGGTGTAGTATTCTCGTTCTTTCTGTAATGTGTTTGGGCACCAATCACGTGCTTGCTCGGTACGAGAATATCTTTACCATACGGGAGTCAGAAAACAGATGGCAGTGAAGCATATCTAGGCTCGATTGCAAGATAAGTGCATGAAGTTCACATTTAGTGAGAAGATAGGTAAGCATTTATCTGAACTAGACAGTAATGCTCATCCTGAGGAAGCCTGGAGTGATATTCAGTATACTATGGAAGCCAGCGGCAAAGACAGTTGGCAATCTGCAATTGAGTGTTAGCAAACTTCAGGAAGTCTCTGACTGTGGATCTGAGCTGTTTGGGGATGTGTAGACTGACTGTCCCGGCTTCTTTAGAGGATGGGATGCTGTGATTCATTACCCTTGATGAGGTACTTGAAAACCGGTAAAAGTGACGCAAATGTATTAGTTCAAAGGCATCCAATTCTTGAAGATTCTAACTAGCGTATATTTTCAGTTATGTTTTCCTCTCATACACCTATGGTTGTCGTTCTCGTAGGTTAAGTGTCTTCATATTTGATATTTGGCAGTCAAATTGTCTTCATGCAGGCTTTGTTATCTCTTGTCTTGCGTGTCGCTCTCTTCATTTAGTGACACTGACTTTTTAAATCACGTTTGCCATTTTTCTTGAATAGATCATACTATTTGCATAAAATAAGTTGTAGTTCCTATGAATTCCTGAGGCGGCTTCTTCACAGCCATTAACTGCGTACACATCACTAAATGATAAACAGTTTCAAGTGCACTGTTACCAATACAACAACCACTTGCTGCTTCCCACCTACAGCATTCGCTTGAATGAATCAAGAATCGAATTGTAATGTGTAACTATTTAAGTTTTGATATCCATTCTTGATGTCAGTGTTTTTGTTGATATATATGGAAGGTTTACTATTCATGTTATTTCACTTTCTCAATGATTTGATGCGGTATTTTTCAATTCGTTGTTGGCTTCACATGCAGAACAATAAACAGGAGCACAGCAATTTCTTGATACCATCTAATCATTGTGTCATAAACTTGCGTTTTTTGCTTTCGCATCCCAATTTTCATGACTTCCAGTAAGCTGTCTCCAAGCCTTTATGTCATATGTTTGTGTATGTCGTAAGTTATTGATGTGTGAGGAAGTTTAAATGTAGCCCTGACTGACTGTCGACTGAAGATTTCAGCATTCAAATAGGCTTTACACAACGCCTCACAGCTTAGTGAACAATCTTTGGGTTGTTGTAAGCGGTTAATAACAATTTTAAGAGAAAACTAAACTGTTATCATGTACTTCCATAAAATCTTCTTTTCCAAAGTTTTGTGCGTTTATTTTCTACGTGCTAATTCTATATTTTTGCTTAGATTTAAGTGTTGTGATCACAAATTTGGATTTTGAAAGCTTTGGAATACTCTCATTAACTTTGAAACGTCATCGAGTAAATAATACTATATCGCTCTGCGCTATATATCAGATAAACAAATCTAATATGGAATTACATTCTGGAACAGTGCTCAAGTTTTACACTCATATTTGATTTATAGTATTAATTTATTACTGCATATCTATCCATTTCTGGTGCTCTGTGTATCTGCTGTAATTCGACGATCAATCTTCTTCCATACGACTCTGTTTTCTTAAAGTGCTTATAGATGAACAAATAAGCTAGTTTATACCTCTGATCTAGCCATACCCTCAATCTTTCCTATGTATTTCATAATCTCTCAAATTCTTATTAAAATCCACTTTTTATCGTACTGTTTGTGTGCTTCAGAAGTTTCTTCTTTCAAGGGTAACTATCGCGTATTGGTATACAAATGATACAAACTTACACTGAACTGCCAAATAAGAGAATGAATACTAGATTTAAAATAAAGTGTGCCAATCAAATTAAGGTGATGAATGCATCCGATTTTGAGAAGTAAGAAAAATTTTCATAGATGAAGAAAGAAAAACTCACTATCTGTCTGGGAAATATTTGATTTATCTGAGTCATGTAGATTAATATTAGATTCATGAAGAGAGTATGGGCTAACTGAAACATGTCTGGCGATTTGGTTAGAAGTTTTTCCCAGAGTTTCCGATCTATTTTTTTTGTTATCTTGCTCCAAATCATAAACGTTTCATTCTACATTACTCCTTGTTTCCCATCGCAAAATGTTTTCTTCTGTTTATGACCTAACTTTAATAATTTCAGTTAGACTCTCTGTCATAGTCCTGAGTTCTAGACCAGTCTTTATCTATGAGGATGGCTGCAGTTGAAGGGAAACCGTGGTGGCAGTCTGTTTGGAAATTTGGCATTTAGAATCCATCCAGCTTCACGCTTTGCTCCAAGGATTATCCGCGTATATTTCTGATATCATTGTTTTCTATCGTGTGGGTTTCTTGTTTATTTTGGTTAGTTCTATCAATGTAAACTGCAGCAGTTGATTACTATTCTAAGTCCTATGTTGATGATGTCTTCCTGTGTTTCGATTACAACTGTGCAGTGTTCATAGCTTGTTTGAATTAATAGTTTCATTTTGGCACACAATAAACTAACTATATTCTGTCCTATTTGGTTAGGCCTAAACAAAAGATTATATTTGCTCATACAGAAAATAATTTCCTACTTTCCTACTAGAAGAAAATTTTAATGCTATTTTTCGTTCTCAGTTGATTTATTTCCCTTTTGTCCAATAGTTATTGAATTGGTGCGTGTTCTGATGGACTTTGATATTGCCGATGATATTTTATTGGCACTAATTACTTTGTTAAAGCCACAACGTGAAATACAACTGGGTAAATTATTCACCGAAGCAGCATCTGATAATGAGGAATTCAGCCCACACCACGCAGAAAGTGATGACAATCGTTGTAAGTTTAATCGTATTATTGTGCATGTTTGAAATTAAGGTGATTAATTAGCTAGGGTACCAAAGTAATAGTTTTCACGACAAAAACACTCGAGATCCTTTCGTTCGTTCTTAACTTTATTCTTTTAGTTTAGGGGATTAAAAATCCATACTACTATAACTTTTGACCATCATATCCTATCATCCCTTAAACTGTATGTGAGTAGTTATGTTGGACAAACACACTAATCTTACACATTTGTGTTTCATAATAATATGTAATAAAAGTGAGCTTAAGTTGCGTTTTCGAACTAAGGTTCATCCTATAGTGTCTCATGTAGATTTCCCTCAGACGAAACAGTTTGGCGCCACTGAAATCAGCTGTACAAGTTGACCCGCGTGGCTAAATAATGGATACATTGCTTTTAAACGTATCTTTATGTGACATATAATCAGTCAGTCAGTAAAAATCACCATGAGACCTGACAATACCACATAACCGTCGAAGGTGCCATACTTGATATCAACATCTCGGTTGATCTCGTCATCTCATTTCTCCTTCTTCTCTCTTAGTACTTTTCTACTTCTTTTGGCCGACTTTCCTTTCTTTCTTCATCTTCTATTTCATTGCCTTGTTACGTGATATGCTGTTATGAGGTGTGGAAACTTGGGCTGTTAGTCAGTAATGCCTGGTCCTGAGTTGATGTTGATGATGGTTGTATGGTTTGATGAGAATTTCTTAATTTATGAGCCACATCAACTCCGAACGGTCTCGACGTAATTTTTAATGTACTTGTTATGTATTAAAGGGAAATCCGTTTGCTGATTTTCATGGATGACTTGGTATTTGAGTACGAACCGGATCGGCGTCTATGGCAGTTAGGTTGTTAACTGTCCTTCTTTTGGGCAAGGGATCAAGCTATTTCCCTCCTTTTTTCTTGAAGTGGTTGCACTTCATAGTGGTTTCACTCTTTTTTTGATTAGGCCTTATTGAAACTAATTTTCCATCTTTTTGGGTTGTTGGTGTTATAGTTCGGGTTTTCATCAATGATCAGTCTCAAATTTTCTGTGTTAGTCCTACTCAATAAAACATCGGGCAACGAAAGTTTGTTATTTGACTCCTATTCTATTGTAAACATGGTACCATTTGAGATGCTGTTGATCTAGTTATCAGTCCTTTCAAATTTACTCTCTTCTGTAATAGCGAAGGTATAGTTTCTCAGCAGATCCAACTTTTTGATTTGTTAGCTGGAAAAACAATGGCTTAGAGTAATGATGGATAGTAGGTAGCAGTGGAATCCAGGACGCTCATTACGTCCTATTTGGGACTCGCCAGCTGGATATACCTGCTTCCCAGTGAGTGATTTTGTCCCCATCGGGATTCGGACTCTGGAGCGATCGCTTCAAACGCCAGAGCCTTATCCACTACACCACCTGAAACCACTTGGAATTGGTGTAACTCATAAACCAACAAATTCCCTGCAAACACTATTATGCAGACTAAAGGATGCGACAACCAAAGAAGACAAACAGAATATGATTTACAAAATCAACTGGAATAACTGTAGTCAACACTACATTGGACAAAGTGGTTGCCCTCTTCGCCTTCGTCTACACCATCCATCATTACTATCATAAGAGCACAGGTAATATCGAGGCATCCCCACAGGATCCCATATGCCAATAAAGACCGATCAATTCGGTCTAATCAACGACGGTATGATATTTAAAAAAAAACAATCATATACTAATGGCTTAGAGTTTCTACATTACTGCTGCTGCAATTAATCCAGATATTCGCTATCCCATTTGGATTCCTTCCGTCTTTTTGCATGCCGTACCATTGAATGGGAAGTATATTGTTAGAACAACATCAATGAGTTCCATCAGAATTAAACACTGAAGTTTTGTGCTTTCCAATAACCCTTTGCCTTATGAGTGGTAAACATACGTAGTATGCTTAGCCAATTCCTTTTCATTTGACGTGCATAATCCTGAGACGTTGAAGGATACCATTAGTTTATCGTTGTCTATGTAAAAACACCCTTGATCTACACTGAAAATTCCTTTAGGGACTTGCTGTAATATTCGCATAACTCCACGTAGTACTTTACTTTCTTCCTGGGCTCTTTAGGTAGGTTTTCGGAAGTAAGACTATCTGTCATGAAGAACTATCTGGTTTATGCAGTTTTTATCTACAGCAAAACTGAGGAAGAACGGGTCCACTAGGTTTCATTTGACATTGATCCTTGCTTAAGTTTTTTCCCCTCTTTTGACGAGTTTGTTTTGCTTTTGTTCTGGAGTGTAGTTTTTTCCCCGTCTGACCATTGGCAGGATTATATTTATTATTGAGTTTCCTCATTTAATAATCATGTTACGTTTAGTGATGACCACAATTCAGAAAAGAATTTTGGTTTCAAGGCGTCTTTGAAATGTATATCAAGCCTTTTTGAAGTTCTTCCAGCTTTGTCCGTAGTGGCTTTGATAAGCTGACTATTCAGTCGTTTATTTCCTCCGTTTTAGGACTTTCCTCGGGTGTTCCTTATGTCACCCGCTTGACTTTTCAATTTCTGTTGTTTATGCTCTCATGTGATATTTCGTAAGTCTCCCTTCTAGTTTTTTTCGGTTGTCGATCGCAACTTACAAGCACCGCATCATAATCACATTTCTGTTCACCTCTAAAGAAAGCAGCATCCAGTTTTATGAGAGATATTATGACTGGTTAGCTGACTTTAGTGCATATATTCTACTGTCTTAGACTGAATCTTATTTTCATGAAGATAGTGATGTTATGATTTTCTTGAAGTGTTTACCTTTAATATTTCGATTTTTCAAGTAAAATAACTGTTTTCTGCCCTACTTAGCCTCCAGTTGCCCTAGCCCGATAGGTAGTACTTCAGAATCGAGATCTGGTTCTACTGCAAAAACCCCGTCTACCAAAAAAATGAAGTCATCTGAATCAAAATTATTAGAACATAAAAGTAGTCATACAGGTGACTCAAATGGAAAACGTGTTATTACCAGTGGGAGTAGTGTAAATAAATGGAAGAAAAATAAAATGAATAAGTCTTCAGATTCAGAATTAGACAATCAGCCACTACCGGTATTCGTTCAACAAGCAGCTGCTGCTAAATGCTTACAGTAAGCACTGTTTTTACACACTGACAACTCATTGAGGTGTTTATTTTTCATCTTTGTCTAAATTCTGCCAACTGTTTCATGCTTATATTTTCTGTACTTATTAGCGAGTTTCCTTCCTTTAGTTTGATGTTTTTTTCACTAATTTTGTAAGCTGTATTTACCGAGTCGGACTGATTTACCTATCTGAATTTTCACCTTCTGACCTCTTTATAAATTAGAAACTGTCGATTGTTTGAAAAGAGGCGGAGCTAACTTCAATGGTTTATATTAAAAATGAATATTGACTAACAATGGGACTTTGAACATTTGTTTCGTCCCATTGGTTACTCATCATCTGGATGTATCTGCATCCCAGTGAGTGATGGTGTTCACATCGAAACTTAAACTTATCACCTCCCGCCGGAAACGCCGGAGCGTTATCCATCGGGTTCCTGAGTTACGATAACCACTCTTTGTGTGACTGTCCAAAGCAATGAACAACAGGATACAAAAGGTCCTAATATTTATTAGTTTAGTTGGCATTGAGTAATTAGTCAGTTTACTGGTTTATGTTATCGTTTGACTTACCATTCGGTTTTTCATGTTGGGTTGCATCTTTTACTTTATCCATCACCTTTTTAAAATACACTGAGCAATAAAGTGGTTAAAAAGATTTGAAAATTTTTTTCTCGATAATATAAAATAAACACGGCGAGTCTAACCAGTCGTTACATTTGCCGTATTTTATCAAATATCCCTCCACTAACACCCCATTATAAATAGTATCATGTTTAGTGGACAGTTGATTTTATGAGGTGGTTAAACATTGCTGTCATCGAATCTTCTACATATAAACAAGTTTAGATTGTTTATCATTTGCACTTCTGCTTTTGTTTTCAGTGTTACTCCACTAGTGGTTTGAATCGTTTTGGAGTAGCATCTTTGGCTGTATGAATTCCACACGCTTTTAAACATGGTTTTTACGACGATTCACCATCAGCAGTGCGTTGTAGTTGTATCTCTCACATTCTTGGTACCCGGCTCTGATCAAGCTTATCGATCAAGTTCACAATGTGAAGATTAACTTAAGTGACATGATATCGCTGTGCACTTTATTTCACAACTATACGTCGAGAGTCAGTTGGCACTCACACATACAGGTTCAAATCCCTGGGGGTAGGGTGGGGGACATATTAGTTCCTTCCTCATGGTTGTAGCTATACCTTGTTGGTAAGTGCCAAGAAACACGAAAGCTATGTCCAACTCTGCGCCGACTAGTTCCTAACAACCAAAATTCGTTTCGAAATCAACCATAAGATTAATCAGTGTATCCTCTAGGTACCACCATATATTTGTGTATCTCGTATATTTCCCCATATTCTTGTTGAACATGTTATCCACTCGCTGTTGTCATCTGCGCAGAAGTTTTCATCAGATCGTGTTGACTGGTTTGGCGGACGAAATGTTAAGATAACCTCCGCACATATCAACAGCCAATGGCATGGAGGTAAATATGCAGGCAGAAAAACTACTAACTGACACCTTTGGAATTTTAGCATAATTGATGGATAACGGCAATCGCCTCCTATAAGTGTGATCTAAAAATCATCCGTTTCTCGCAAGTGCCATTTTAAGACACAAAGAGAGACATTATCTAGTGTAGCATCCGTCAACTTTAACCTAATAGTGCACGGCATTCTTGTTACGTGCTCCTGGAAAGGGTCGATAGAGAAGTATCGCTTTTTCTGGACCACTTTAGCAATGATCACGCGTTGTTTCAAGTACACCTATATCTGCTCTCAGATGAACGTAGAAAAACTACAGCTAGAGAATCATTACGAGAACAGCTTGATGATGACATTACAAAAGCTGCTTTCAAAGTGGGATTGGCTAAACAGTCATCGGAACAGGGTAACTACACTCATCCTGAAGAAGCATGTTTCGACCTCTAGTCTTATTTAAAAATAGTGTTAAAGACGGTAAAAAGCTGTTAGAAAGGTTCGGTGAATTTTATCAGGCTTCTTCCGACCTATTGAATGTACGTGAATGCATTCCTATGTAACCTGAGTGCAATGGACAGCGCAAAAACCTCCAGTAAAAACTGATAAATAGCATGTAAATACAATAGACAAAATTAACATGGGTTCGTTACTCCGTTCACTGACTTTTTTGTTTTCTGTCTTCTACACCTTCACACGCGGTATGCTACAAATACAAAGGTGGTCGAATACCTGATATATATATATATATATATATATATATATATATATATATATATATATATTCTGCCTTTAATGGCCTTGTTTCATAACCATTTGGCTGGACAGAGGGAATTGCAAAAAAGTGCACTCGATGCTTAATAAACAACTGGTAGGTAAATAGAGTAACAACAATTTGCATTTAGGTGGTAAGGAACATATCCGAAACATTCTCGGATTGCCACTTATCGTGTATAAAACACTGAACATCTTGTCAGTGTCTTCACCTAACAGGACTATGTCGTCTGGGAACCTTAGATGTACTAACGACTTTTGTGGCAATATCGATCCCTTTGTGGTGAGACGAGTGAATGAGACTTCCATAAGTGCTTGGTTGATTGAGTTGGGAAAGAAAGGAGAGAGTGGTCATCGTGGATGTATACCATTCGACGTTTACGTCTTAATATAGGTTGTAAGAATCCCACAGGTTTTCGAGTGGTGAGCCTTTACCCGGGTGATGTACTTACTCGTCATGCGTCTCTTTGAGAGACACTGCCATAAGACCTCTCGATCGACGGAGTTGGATGTCGCCTTCAGGTCGAGAAATACAGTCATTGTGGAGCGTTGGTAAGTGAGCGTGTGTTTGAGAGCCTGATGGATAGTGAGTGTCTAGTCTGTAGAGTCGAAGTCAGGTGTGAAGCGTACCTGGTTTCTTTGGGTCTGTGGCTTCCGAGCTCCACTCTGGCACCTGATACTCAGAATGTAGAATGTTGGGCAGTTGTCGTGAGACCTATTCCTTTGTTCTTTAGGACAAGAGGATTTGTACCCTTTATTGAAGACTGGGATAACCAGGGATCGATACCATTCGAAAGGGGGTCATATCCGACTGCCATAGATCAGGTAACACTTCGGTTAAGGTGAGAGATAATTCGAGACCACCGTCTTCAAATACTTCTGGAATTGATCTGCCTGACCCTGCTGCTCTTCCTGTTTTCTAGTCTTCTCGACTTTAGTAAATGTTGGTGGTCCTATCCATTGATCTCTTCAGTATCCTATTCGATAGCGTCAGCAGAACAATAGATAGATGGCAGTTGGAGTATTCTTTGAAGCTTTCTGCCAATCATTTCCAGTCGTGTCGCTCACGAGTAAGTCCCACATCCATTTGTCACTATGGTCCCACTAACGGTTGACGTTTTTGTCCCATTTTCATTGATAGGTCTAAAATACTGTCTACTGCTACCTATTGTTGCTTTTTTTCCATCTCTTTAGCTTTTAGTAGCCGCGACTAATCGTGGTGATTGCAAGACTTCTTGCCAGGTTACATTTTAGTGGCATCTGCTCTTTAGTATACTGGATGCCTAGTATTAATATCGTGAAACAGCATTCATAATGGTCCTGCTACTGTGATTTTCTACTCACGTTCAGGTACAGTTATTCATAGCAGTACGATGTATCTGCGTCCACCTCTGAGGTTGTGTCAGTGTACTCCACGTCAGAGAATGCTTTTCTGTATATCTGAAGCTCGTGCTAGTCAGAAATGGATGGTTATCTGAGCACAGTTGTAGAAGGCGATTGTCGTTGTCTGTTCATGCAACTGGTATTCCAAAAGAGCCTCCCACGTAAATGCCTTTGTGTTTGACTTGACCTATCCGCGGGTGCATTTAAATCAATAGCAACACTAACCATGTCTGAACGTTTGACTTTTATTAAGAGGTTAGACAGTTTTCGGTAGAACTCATCCTTCTTTTCATCCGAACTTCAGTCAATGGGTGCGTTCAGTCGAGCAGCGTGTAGGCGACTTTCAGATGCGATCCAATTGAGCAATGCACTCTGCCTTGAGACTCAGTGCTACACCTAAACCTGCAGGACTGCGATAACTAGTCATCGAATCTCTAAGATTTCGAAGTATGAATTTCATGGATTCACTATATTGAAAGTATGAGGCTATTTAAAAAACCACACTTGGATCATATATGCTTGCCTCAAAATAGCGAAAATTTTTAGCCCAAGATGCCACAGTTATTTTATCAAAACTTGTCATCCAATTTGACGGATGGTGCGGTTATTGAATCTCCAATTTGCGGTTTGGCCTCCGATTTCAGGATACCAGTTCTGTGAATTCAAATCTTTATCATGAGGTGTGGAACTGGAAATTAAAGACGAAGTAGCAGTGTTGATTGAGAGGATTGAAGGAAGATTAGAAAGTAAGAATATTAAACGTTGATAATGAACGTAGTGAGGGGATTTGGGCACTGAGAAAGTTGCGACGTTGATTGTCATTTCCCGACTGTTTACACTATGAAAGGCTATTTCTTCTTGAGGTACCTAAAAACAAAGGGTTATTGTGTGACCACAGACACCAGTGGACATCTAGTTAAGGCTTATCACACGCGACCTTTATAAAATTTCGAAATTCGGTGTTTTTTTTTGTGAATCCGATCATGAGGCTAAATCGCCGGAACCGACATGGTTTGGAATAGAAGAGGAGTATGGTGAATTTCGTCATAACTCCACTCCTTGTTCTCTTTTTATGACCTTCAGCAACTTTTGGTTCCCTTCATTCTTGTTTTTCCACTTTTCGTCTTTTACCTCCTATCTCGATATGCTGATATATGTGGCGTCCTGGTTCGTCACGCAGTAAAGGTAGACCCCATTTTGGTACTGACTGACTGAATGGATATTTTCCACATTGTGTGTAAACGTATAATTGATAGATCCTATTTAGGGATAATTAAAAAATTTACAGGATACTTTATGTAACAGACATAGATGTTTGCCAGTTTCGCTAGACTTGAATAGTAATCAGCTGTTTCTTTCAGAGAA